ACTGCGTGGATGGGCTGCAGCCCAGAGAAGGGCCCTTCACTTCCTTTCTCCTGTGAGCTTCTGTTCTTGCCTTTCCTCTGCACATGGAGGCAAGGCACAAATAAATAAATAAGATGAAATAAACACGTTTGTCCCTGTTAAGTTTCATCTCGTTAGATTCACCCCATCGCTTCAGCCTGTCACCTTCTCTTTACATCCCAACTCTGTCATCTGGCAGATTCGCCATTATCCCCCCTAGCTGTGTGGCATCTGCAAATTTGATAAAATACATGGAGCGTGTTTGTCTCAGAGGAAGCCCCTCTCCTTCTAGGAGGCTGGAGCACAGGCATGTGCACACGCATGCTCCTCCCTCCGCCCTGGCTGGGCTCATTTCCTCTGTCCAGTGTCCTGCAAGATCCCAGTGGGGATCCTGGGCACCTGCTTCCAGAGGCCTGGCACTCAGCTGTTGTGCACATGTATCCCTGGTGGGAGGGGAGCAACATTCCAACTGCCTCACTGCCAAGTACTGACTAGTGGGGACCTTCTGGCTTCTTCAGTCAACCAAGCTTGGGGCCAGAGTGACCACCTAGCACTTGAGCCTCTGCTCTACTGGGACTGCTGTGTGTCCCCGTTCCGCTGCTAAGCAGGTAAGACACAGCCCTTGCCGCTGTGGCCCCACCCTCCTCTCTTGTGGCGGCTGCTGCTGCTGCTGGTAGAGCACATGGGGCGGGGTGAGGCCTCCTTCTTGCCATTCACCTGCTGGGCACAGCTTCCCTGATGCTTCTCTTCAGGGGACCCTGAGCCTTGTCTTGGTGGTAATTGCAGAGCAGGCGTAGTCGGATTGGAGAGTTCTTCACTACAGAGCCTGGTCTCTGCTCCAAGGCTTAACAGAGGCCTGTCCAGGGCCTGGACAGAACTTCTGGACCCTTCTGATCCATTTCCCAGCCTCTAGGCATTGGATGTTGGAGTGTAGAGGACTCAGATATGTTCCTATGCCTCCCCCGTTGCAACTCAAGCTGTTTGTCCTTCCCTTGAGGAAGACTTTGGCAATCGCTGGTTACCTGTAAAGTCAGCACTGACTAGCTGGTGCTGTGGTAACAAAAAAACCGAAATTCATGGTGGCTGGCAACAACAGATTGGTTTCTTGCTTATATCAAAACCAGTTGGGGAGCAGCTGGGGATTCTGCTCTGTGTCATCACCACTCTGGGACCCAGGCTGAGGGGCAGCCCTGGCTCAGCATGCCAAGGAGAAGGAGCAGTAGACCATGTTTGAGTGCTTAGTATTTCTGCCTCAAAGTGCTGTCCTAGTCACATTTTGTTGGCTAAAGCCACATAAAGCATAATTTCAAAGGGAGCAGGGATGTCTAATCTTATGCCAGGACTTTGGCATACTCTGCACACCAGCTGTTCCTGTTCCTCAGGGCTGCCTGAGTTCCCATGATATACTAAGGTGTTCATTTTCCAGGTCCCACGTGTGATGTCCTCCCCTCCCGTCCATGGCTTTGTGCTGGGCTCTCTCCTCTGCTTCTCACTTCTGCTGGTCAACCCCTTCCCGAGAGAATCTTTCTTCCCAACCCTTCTGACAGACGCCAACCATGTGCCCTGACCCAGGAGAGGTCTGGGGCCTGGTCCTCACCCCAGATTGGTCTCGTGATTGGTCCCGAACTCACAAGCTCCTAGCTGAGGCTTTCCCATTTCTCCTTCCTTTTGAAGGTGTCCTTAGCGCTCGAGGAAGCATACAGGGGGCCTGATGCTTTCCCAGCTCCTGGATGGGCCAATACAGGCACCTTGTGTATAGGTTGGTCTGAGCTGTGTTTCTGTCACTTCTAAGTCAGACTGACACACACACACTCCTGGGTGGGCAGAAACACATCCATCCTGTGTCAGTTATCTATTGGGAGTAACAGACCACCCAAAGCTTAGTGGCTTCAGGGATGAAATTTCCTAGAATACACCTTCCCCAGCAGAAGTGCAGGCAAAGTCAGTGAGACCCAAGTAAGGCCTGAACTTGATTTACCGGCAGTTTCCAGGTCAGCTTCCTGGGCTTGACACCCTGCTGTGGTCACATGGGATATGACCATTGAGAGAGGCTGGGAACTCTGCTGTCTTCATCTTCCAGTGAGTCTTAAAACTATTTCAAATAAAAAAGTTGTAAGATGGGCATGGTGGTGCACCCCTGTAATCCCAGTGCTCAGGAGATAGAGGCAGGATATCAAGTTCAAGGCCAGCCTGAGGTACATAGGAAGATCCTGTCTCAAAAAAACAAAAAGATAACAATACACCTTAATGACTTGAGAGAACTCTCATTTATTTACTCATGACTCCACCATTTGGGCAGGGCTTAGAGGATGGCTTATCTGTCCACACAGAAAGAAGGTGGTACAAACTGGCTTCATTCCCATCTGGTGTGTCAGCTAGGATGCCTGGGACTGCTGGGGCTGGCCAGGCATCTCTGCCCATAAAGTCTGTCCTACAGGGCAGCTGGACCTCTCTCTGTGGTGGCTGAGGCCCAAGAGGGCCTCTCAAGGCACTTCTGGCTGCAGTCCAGTGGTCAAAACAGTCAAGGGGAGCCAAGATCAAGGCAGAGAAAATGTCCATCTCTTAGCAAAGGGAGTTTCAGTGTTTGTGGTATCTTCAGCCCATGGCCATCGCCAATGTGCCAGAGCTTCCAAAACTGCTGCTCCACCTGGCCAGCCTCCTGACTTGGGATGAGGAGATGCGCCTGGGGAAGGGCCAAGGGTCAGCCACATGGTGGGGACATGGAGGGGACAGAGTGGGACTGCCCGCCAATGTTTTGTCTGCATGGGCAGGGCTGGCTCACCAGCCTGGCGTTGCTACTGGGTTGTTTTGCACATGCTGGTGTTTGCAATCAAAAAGTTCAGCGGTCCTTCCAGTGTGCTTAAATTAGTCCCCATGAAAACCAAATCATTTCATTTGCAGAGAAGGGTTTAATTGCAAGGGGAACGAGGCAAAGGGAATTCTGTTGCCTGTTTTCATTGAAGAAAATTACTGTACTTTCCCCTGTCTCCTTACGAAACAGAAGCAGCTCAGAAGTGGGGCTGTGATCCTCAGCATTACCTCTTCTACCCTTGCTTCTCAGAGCCTGTCCCTCAGCTCTCTCCCTTTCCAGAAACCCTACTCAGGGCTGTTCTTGCTCATTTGCTTAGCTTGGGGGCAGCCTGAGCTGAGCAAAGTACCTGTTCACACCTGGAGTCTCACACACCCCTGTGATGTTGAGATGATACTCTTGGCTTTCTGCAGGGTCTTGGCCATGAACTGGACCACACTCTTGGCCAGGAGAAACTCCCAGTCATTTTTCTTAGCAATTGAGGAAAATCTGCTCAGAGCTGTCGCTTAGCGGGGCTGGTGAGAAGTCCTGTAATAGAGGCCGCATTGACAGCATCTTATCCAGATCCCAGGGCTTGTCCTGTTGGGTGCTGGCAGAGGGGAGGGGCCTGGACTGACACATCTCCACAGCCTCTGATACATGGTATGTGGCCCGGGTGGTCCTGCTGCTCCACCAGTGTCCTGCTTGAAATGCAACCCGCACATCTGCTCCCGCAACTCAGTGCAGACTGGTCATCTGTGGCTAGTGCAGAGGTTGTTTCCCTGGGGTGGGAGATGGAGCCCTGGGGAGGTAACCTGGGAGAGGTGCACACTGAAAGGTCGTGGGTTGTGCAGGGGCCTGTGGCAGATCAGAGCAGGGGATTTACTCAAGTCACTCAGATTAAGAAGGAAAAAATAAAGATAAAACAAAACCAGTCTGAACAGAAATGGGAGGAACTCAGACCTTAGAAACTCAGCGTCTGGCTTCTGGGATGAAGGTTTCCATTGACTAATTTCTTGAATATTTACAGAGAGTGTACCATGTGCCAGGTACTGTTCTAAGAGCTGGACCTACATCAGGGAATAGATCAAAGAGTCAGGCCTGAGATGCTGATATTGGAGAAGTGGTGGCAAGACAACATGAATAAGTAATACATGTAGCAAGCCAGGTGTTAGGGTGGAGAAAAGGAGGGCTAGGCCCTACGGGACAAACAGGATGGGGGTGCAGGTGCAACCTCAGACAGGAAAGGTGACAACAGAGCAAGACCTGAAGAGGTGAGTCCCATGGAGGTAAGTCCCATGGAGGTCTGGAGGATGCAGAGCAGGGGGGCAGCAAGTGCAAAGGCCCTGAGGCAGGAGCGGGTTAGTGAGGGCTTGGGCACCTAAGGGTGGGACTCTTGCAGAGTGCAAGGAAGAACAGGAGGAGGAGAGGACAGTGGAGCAGCGACAGATCACTGAGACTCCTGGAGCTTCTGAGAGATCCTGGCTTTTCCTCTGGAAGGAAGTGTTGTGCAGTTTTGTCAAATCTCTAGCCACACAACAAACATGAGAGTGGCTCCTTCTTCCTGTGGGGAAGTGGAGCCCAGCTGAGATCCAGACTCAGGAGCTGGGCTATTTGTTTCATACCCCAGCTCCACTCCATCCCCTTTCCCTGCATTAAGGAGCATCTACCCTGTATAGCTTGTTGTGAGTTCACCAAGAGCTCCACTAACTGCCGTAATGCTGCCACATGCTGAAGATGAATCTGACCATTTCTTTCTTAATAACTCCCCTGGCTACGGGACGGAGTGACTGCCCAATGCCACAGAAGAGCAGAGCCATCCTGAGCTGAGCCCTGTTTCTCGCTCACCCTGGGGAGCAAGAAGTGTTAGCCCTAGGGAAACACGGAGGTGCCAGGTGGCTCAGTGCCCACTGAGCCCACCTCCATTGTTCCTGGCATGCCATGGGACCCCTCCCCCATGCAGACTCTGACCTCCTTGTTAGGGGTGGAGAAGCTGGTCTGGCTGTCCTGGGGAGGACTGTTTGGGAACAATGAGGAGACTTACAACTGCTCCCTTGCCCCTTCCCTTTGGGGGAGGCAGACAAGATAATGGATTTGAATCCACAAGCCTGCTTTAGTGAAGGGAATTTTTGAGGCTCAAAGTCAACATTGCATTAATTAAGGGGGACCAGCTGCTACCGCAGCTCTTATGATAAGTCAGTGACAAATGGCTGTGTTTACCTTCTTTCTGAGTAGAGCCTTGGGAAGGTGGCCTGGAGCTCCTGGGCAGATGTCCACACTGAGATTTGTGGGGTACAGTCTCTCTCTCCTCCCCCAAGCCTCTTTATTGGTACCTGCCAGGGCCCAGGAGTGCTGTTTGTCATTAAGGAGACAGGTCTGCAGCCCTGGGCAGGGCTATGGAAACTTCTCAGCCACAGCTCCTACCGAGATACCTTCATGCCATCCTCGGACAGACCCCGCCATCCTGTGCTGTCCCTCCAGAGCCACTTAAAGGCCTGGCATGGCCCCTGGAGCAGAAGAGAGCTGTGAAGTTGATCAGAGATGTCTGCTCCGCCCAGGCAGGCTGCCCACTGTAAGGAGGACCAGCCTTTTGTTACTCCCTTTATTTTGATCTGGTTCCTGTTCTTACAACAGCTTCCTAGCTAATATAGCTCTGCATTTGTTCCAGACAAAACATGTCCCGAGAGTATCTTCCACTGAGGAACTGATGGGCTGTTTTTTTCTTTTTTCCTCCAGAGTTGTGAGCTGGGTCCTTTGTCCACTCACCCACCAGGATTCTGGCAGTTGGGAACCTAACAGGTTGGTGCTCACATACCAGTGGTCACCCACAGTTGGGACTGGGTATGAACAGGAAGGTGGCTACGACTGGTTGCAGACCCTGAAGGACCCAGCTCAAGAAGTGGCCTTCTCTTCCTGGGGTCCCTATGAAGAAGGCTCCCTCCTGCTCTTGGTGCCAAACTCAAAATGCCTGCAGCCTCCCATGCACCCCCTGAAACATCAGGGCCCCTCATATTTGCCATATGGTGGCCTCCTCAATGGCTGGACCTAGAAATAAGCCTGCTCCTTAGGGGGCATCACCATCTGCTGGGATGACTCTCCAATCCCACTCACCTTCCCTGCTCTTCCTCCTCCCCTCTCAGGGCTGGGATTGAGCATTTTGGGAGAGCTGCAGGGAACCTGAGGGGAGGTAAAAGTGGAGCTGAAGGAAAAAAGGTCTCACTCCTCACAGCCACCCTGCAGGGGGGATGGTCATATGGCTTTATGCAGCAAGCCCTTGCTCTACCCAGCTTACTCCCACCAAGTCCAGCAGTCCACAAATGGTCAGTCCTTGGCACTACTTGGGGTGAGAGGAAATGCACCATGAACAAAACACACATCTGATTTCAATAAATAGTTTATTTATCTAAATTTCAACCCTGATACTGAAGTCTGTTGCCCTGTTTCTTATTCTGGCTAGAGCCTGGTTGTAAGAACAGGGCCTTGCCACGGGCAGAGCTCAGATTCCAGCCCAGCTGATCATCCAGACATTAGAGGAAATGAGAGAGTATTGCTCAAATGAGGAGACTGGAGCTTTATTAAGGAAACAAAAATGCCAGGAAGTCCAGAAAGGGGCAGCCAGTGTCTTCTGGAGGCAGCTGTGCATCTCCTCTGGTTGCTCCCCTCTCCTGCCTGCCATGGAGAAGCCATGTGCGATGAGGTGTGCTGGAGAAGTTCTGCACGTAACTAAACTAATAAGGCCCCCCGCTGGGTGTTTCTTGGGAGAGGGTGTCTGCGGGTGGAGCCAGCGGCAAGCACCGCTCAGTGTGGCGGCAGGGGGCACCATGTGGACCATGTGCCACACCTGGCCACCCTGCAAGTTCACCTTTAAACAACCCTGGATGAGAGAAGAGGGGAGGCCTGGGTCACAGTAAAACAAGGTGCTCTCAGGACCTGGAACCAGCATTCTAGGTCCTATGCAACGCCTGGCTTTGGGTCTGAATTCACAACTCCTGTGAGAAGCACCACTGAGAAGCTGGTGGCTGTACAGCAACTGGACCCTCCTGGTCTCAGCCTCATGGCTCATGGCTCAGATTGCTATTCCTCCTGGGAGGCCATGCCTCAGCTCACATCTGACCCGAGGGTCTCTATAGTCACTTGTTCTAACTTCTAATAAGCGGCCAGTCCAGATGGAGGACAGGCTTTCTCCCCTCACCCTTGAGCTCCCAGGTTAACACCAGTGAAGGCACGTGGTCCAAGTGCTCCCCTATGCCCCTGCTGCCCCAACCCACCTCCCAAGCTACGGCACTCGCTGGCTGGCAGTGAGCTCCAGCTCACCGGCCTCACACTTGCCCAGCGGTCCTACCACTGCTGTACAGCAGTTCTACTGCTGCTGCCCTTGTCTCTTTTCTATTCAGGGAAAACAAAGCCTTCCCTTTTCTGCCAGCAAAATAGGCAGAGAAGATGGGCCTCACTCCAGCTTCTCCCTGCCACCCTAAAAGGAAACCCACATTTCCTCATAGAGGCCCCTGGAACAGGGCGGAATAAGCAGTCAAGGCAAGTGTGAACGCAGCACCACAGGTCTGTGCCCCTCGCCCTGGCCTGGGCTTTTGGGGACAGGCTGGCTGGAACAAGGTCCCAGCGAGACCTATCGCTCTGAGTCAGAGAAGGAGGAGGGCTTAGTCCACCTCCATACCAGCATGTCTTCCCCAGCCACTCGGTGGGACTCTGTCTGGATCCGGGATTCGTTGGAGGCCAAGAACTCAACAGCTCGGTCCCAAACCCGCTTCATGCGCCTCCTGCAATAGAGGGGGGTGGTAAGCAGAGGTCCAGTCCAGCTGGCTGTGTGCGACCTCCCCACAAAGGGGGATGTGTTTCCCAGCATCCAGGGAAGGAAGAGCTGTCAGGCACCAACATGACCAGTGTAGTGGACAGTAGTCTCTTGAGTCATAGAGAACTGACTCCTCACTCTTCTCTGTTCCAAAAGCCTTTGACTAGAGGGAGCAAAAAGGGCCATGGTATCAGGCACCCCGAGTCTCCAAGTGTGAGGGCTGGGCCCAGCTTTTCCACTTGCTGGAGCCTGTTTCCTGCATTGCCAGGCTGCCCATCACTGAGCTGAGTACATTGAATGCCTCATGTGGGCCAATTACAGACCGTCTGCTGGGCTGCTGCATCCAGACTCCACAGCACAGCAGGGAATGGAGATGAGTGGAGCATCTGACTGGGAGGGCAAGAAGCAGGGACCCACTCCCGGGAACCAGAGCTCCAAGGGGAGCCGCTCTGCTGGGTTGCTGGGTTCCTGGTCCTTCCCTGGGACAGCTCCATTCCCATCTCTTCTTCCCCATCAGACTAGACAGGAAGGTTCCAGAGCTGCTGGGAAGGGCTGCTTTCATATCTTACCCTTCATGAGCCCCAGTGTCACATAGGGTTACCAAGGAAGGGCAGAGGTAGTTTTTGGCATCCGTGTTAAATTACAGGAGCCCAGGGCTGGGTGAATGGGCTGCACAGCCTGCCATGCTGTACCGTGTCTTACTCAAGAGAACTAATGGCCAGTCTTGAAGAGTGTGCCTGTGGTAAACACTGACTCAGCAAGCTGTGAGGCCACCTCCTCAGCACTCTCCCCTTAGCACTTGTCACTACGTAATACCACACACTTTCCTTATGCTTCTAGTCATCTGTCTTCCTCTAGAACAAATGCTCCTGCATTGTCAGTGTCTTGCCATGAGTGTGTACCTGATGCACATATGGGCATTCCACAAACATTTGCAGAATAAATGAAGGAAGGACAGCCTCTTTTCACCAGCCTTCAGCAAGGCAGTGGAAAATGCAATCAGGGAGGTTGAGTGAGCTGCCCATTGTCATAAGACTCCTGACAGGGCCAGGAATCAGGCTGGCGTTTGAGTGCGCCAAGTGGCCTCCCCTGAGAGCTGGACAGTCATGTGACTGCTTGAGGACCCACAGCACTTGGTTCCTCAGGGTAGCACTGGCCACTAACTGACAGTGGACTCTTGCCAAGCTTTCTGCCTACCACCTTTCAGGGAGGGGAGGGCATGGCAGCTGTCAAGCATCCTAGCATCCTAGTGTTTTAAGAAATGTGTTTTTTTTTTTTTTTTTTTTTTTCCTGTGACACTGGGGATGGAACCCAGGGCTTCATGCATGCCAGGAAAGTGCTCCATTACTGAGCCATGCCCCCTATAGACTCTTCATGTTTAAAATATTCCCGAAAAAAAAAAAATCCCACAAATGCTCTACCCTTCTGATTCCTTTTGGGCTGCACAGATAAGAGTGATGTCTACAATGACACTTGGGCAGCACAAAAGTGCCACCATCCACGGGACTCTGAGCAAGGTCCTTTACCTCCTTAATCCTCAATTTCTTCCGCTGTAAAATGGGCCCTCACTGCTCTCCTCTCTGTGGGTGGTGGACGGAGCAAATGTGGCTATGCAGAGCTCGGTGTACCCTGGCTCTCAGCAAGCTCTCAGCAAATGTGACCTCTAGTCATCAGCCTGCAGATGACAGTACTGGAACTGCTGGCTGCCTCCTGAGACTCTGCCTTCTCCTTCCCAACCTGGTGCACAAGTCCAGCAGTCACAGACTGTGTGGAAGGCACTGCAGCTGCGAATGGTGGCTGGTCCTTCCAACACAGCCACATGCCTGGAAGCTGATCCTACAGACCACTGTGAAGCTCTGCTTTTAATTACATGCCTGCGCACGTGTGTGTGCATGCGGGGAACTGGACAATGGTGCTATAGGGTGTCCTGTGGGTCTTGCCAATGACAGACTCACAGAGACAAGGAACTGACTCTGACTAATGGAACCTCAACACATGTGCCCCAAGGCCACTGGGAAGGGTTTCTCTGGATTGTGACAGAGCAACAGGAAGCCAACTTCTCCTCTGCAGCTGTGACAAGGAAGACGTTGCTCTAGCTGCTGGTGGCCACCATCTCACAGCCATGAGGGACCAACTTGCTGACAGTGTCCACAGGGAAGGTGGGGTCAGGAGCATCACAGAGAAATGGAGCCACAGAGCTGGCTGTTCTGTGCCCAGAGCTCCCATTACTCCACTGTGGGGACCATCAGACCCTCCACAGCAGAAGCCTGAGAGAGGGGACTCTATGACCTGTAGCCCAAAGCATGGCAACTGGCATCAGCACTGACAGCCTCTCTAAGGAGGGTGGCCTGTGCTTCTGTATGTCCTGTCTAGCTCATTCTGCCATAGAGCCAAGCCTACTGCATGAGAGGCAGGACAATGACCCCTCAAGACAATGGGAAGAGCTGCCCTCAGCTGATGGCTGATGTCAGCCTCTGGGCTTCCTTCTTTGGGGCTTAGTGGGGTCAGGCCCTGCTTCCCCTCACCCCAACAATACTTACCAGGGAGGACTTACCGGCTTTGAGGAGGGATGAGGGTGTCGCGCACATGCAGGATGCCCACATATGGGTAGCGCTCCATGTCCTGCTCCCAGTCCACATAGTGATCCTGGACCACGTCTGCAGGAGAGAGCACACTGTTCAGTGTGAGTCCCTGGCGGCATGGGCAGCCCTTTTGTCAGGGGGTCACGCACCTATGATCTTCTTCACCATCTCATACATGGCCTGCTCTTCCTCCTCTAACTTCCGCCATCGATACTTCAGAAGGATCAGAAGCCCCCATAGAAAGGCCAAGCCTGTGAGAGAACAGAACACTGTCAACTCCTGGTCTCTCCTCTGGCATTCAGGGGCTCAGTGAAGGTCCCTGTGGCAGGATACAATGCGGGAGGCCAAGTGCCTTTGCACTTACTTTGTGTTAGGTATGAGGTGAGCATGCAGGAAATGAGGACACAGACAGACATACAGAGGGAGGATGGGCTATGAAGTGATCATCTTCCTCCCGCTGCTGTGACCAGTAGCATTCTCAGCCATCCAGACCTTGGCCCCTCCCAACCTCAATCTGGTCTTTCATGTCCTCCCTTGTGAACCTGAACCAGTGTTTCATACACATATCCACTCTGGGCCCTTTGTGTTCTGAGATGCTGCGGCCAATAATGATTTCCAGCCTGATGGCATGGGGGTGTGCTGTGCACAAAGTGACCTGTGATTTGTAGCACCAGCTATCTCTGGAGAGCTGTGGTCTCTGTGCTCTGGCCTTTTGCCTTCAGAGACACCCAAGGTCTCTGCTCAAAGGTGGCCTCAAGGCTGGGAGATAAGACCAGCTCTCTTGCTCAGCACAGCACCCTGTGTCCTCCCTGCTTTCATCAGGTATCTGGAGCTCTCCAGGAGATGTTTACACTTTTTAGGGAGTAAAATTAGGCCAAGATCCCACTGTGTTGCCAGCCTGGAGCTGGTCTGCATGCTAGGATCCTGGCAGAGCCACAGGAAGCAATGCTGCTTGATTCCTGCCTGGCCCACTCTCTCTCAGGGAAGCACAGTCCCCTGCCCTATATCAAGGACATTTCTAGTTGTCCTAACACTCCCACCACCAATCTCCAAAGGTAAAGACAGCCCAGGGCAGAGACTGACTTGTTCTTCTCCTCTGTTTTATTAAGATAGACCTCGGGTTCACCAGAGGTCTATCTGGTGAATTTCTCTAATTCATCATTCAAGCCCAGGAGGACGCTGAGCTGTGCTCTGGAGCACTGCTTGCAAAGAGGCTGATGGAGAGGGAACGGAGAGCACAAGGCAGACAGGACTTACACCAGAAGAAGATGAGCACATTGGTGACAGCAGTGAGCAGAGCGCGGCTCAGGCGGCAGCCAACGCCCATACGGGGTCGAGCGGACTCTAGGCAGACCACCTTGTCCACAGTAGTCACCAACTCAGACGGATCTTCCCCTTTCAACCTGAAACAGGATGCAGGGCTCTTAATGTGTTCCACAGACAGCTCTGGGGAACTGTGGTACAAGCCCTACTTTACACAGGAAGAAGTAAGAGGTAAAGAAAGGAGGGGCCAGAAGCCTCTACTGGCTAATGGAACAAGTTTGGTATCTTAGTTGTGCTCTTTCCAGAAATTTCCCACATTGGTTTCTTAGAAAGACAACAGCTTTAAAGACGGCAGCAAGCTTGAACCCCCACCGTTAAAGTGACGTCCCCCTATGTCGGGTCTTTGACAGCCTCTCTCAGCGTGCAGAAGATTAAACTGTAAATTGGATTCCCACCTCCCAGCATAGAGCAGTAGAAATGTTTACGGAATCTCTGGCTTTGCAATCACAAGGCAAGAACTGAAAGACAGGATCTGGGAGCCTGTGCTTTTCCTCCGTGATGAGTTCACATAAGCTGCTTAAGTGTAAAGATCATGGGGCACCCGTGAAGCTCATGGTGAATGGGAACCACCAGGCTGTCCAAGGCCAGGCCCCTGCCACATCACCTCCTCCATCATGGACAGGGAGGTGTCAGCATCTTTGGGGACTCATATGCCTGAGCCCTCTTCTAGCCAGGTGACCCAAGAGCATAACACTATGCTCTGGAATGACTGGTATCTAGTGTCCTGATATCTTGAGACCCACTTTCAATACAGACCATCTGAGTGGTTCAGCCATCTCTCAGCTGCCTTCCCCAGCATGAAAAGGCAAGTGTCATCACTTTTCTGGGTTAGCAGCTCCAGCACACTGCAGAGGGGAGAATCCCTATTCCCCTCCGCCTTTTCCAACACAGGGAAATCGCTTAACACTCAGGGCAGCAGTATTTTAAGCCAGCATATTTTAACCGTGCCTTGCATCTAGTTATTGTGCTTTAGGCCGAGCTACCCAAGGGGCTCCACTGGATACACTGCTGATGGAATTAGTAATTTGGGCAGATTATACAGGAAGTGAACAAAACCCTTGAGTGCATGTTAATATCAGAGTTGGAGCCCGAGCAGAGATCCTGACAAACACAGAGCCAGGGAAGGGGCTTGTGACTTTACTCAGGTAAGGGGTCCCCTCCCCAGGGCTGCCTGGCTGTGAGCTGGTATACCCTTCCCCCACTAAGCAGCTGCATGGGGCCTTTCAGCCTCCTGAAAAGGCAGCTATCTCTGCTAACAGTGCTTGCCAGTGATGATAAAAACCAGGCGAGGTGGAAACTGCCCAGTCAGAATAAAATTCAGTATTTCCCAACCAATTTCCATACTGAGTAAACTAACACGCAGAATCATTTCATCTCCAAATGAGACTGCGTATCCCAGGAAAAAGCTCCTTCTCCAGCAATTGCAGGTGGAAGAATCAAGTAGGCAGATAGTGACTTGAGGCAGCACTGGCTGAGACACCAGGCAAGCATCCACTGCTCCCTACCCTGCAGCCTCTTCTTGACTGGCTCTAAGCCTAGCCCACTGGCTGAGTGGGGACAGCCGAGACTAACCTCACACCTGAGACCCTCTGCTAAGCACAGGAGGCAGCCGAAGGGGAAAGACAGTGGCCAGCTAGCTGTGTGCCACCCCCGAAGTCACCTTATGCCGCCCCACCCACACTCACCAGATGCCCACGTCCTTGTTACTGCTCAGTATCCAGGTCAGTGCGGCTTCAAACCTGGCAGAGGAGCTGCTGGTCACATTCTGGGGGCAGAAGGTTGGGGGGAAGAGATTAGTTCTACTGCTGGGCTGCGCAGCCCTCTCCAAGTCCTACACAGGCCCCAAGGCTCCGTCCCACTAGATGAACAGCATACTGGCAGGAAGGAAATCTGCGGTGATGAGCTAGGAAGACACTTGCTCCAGAGGAGGTGATTCGGAAGCAACAGGAAAACAGGATAGTGCTGAGGCTAAATTACTAGGCCAGAGACTCACAGCTCATCTTGTGGTGAAATGAAAAAGAGCATCAGGGTGAGGAGCAGGGGCTGGCAGCCAGTCTCAGTTGTGGAGCCTCAGAAAGCCCCTGACCCTCTCCAGGCCTCAGTTTCCTCATCTGTAAAATGCAAATTGAACTATATGACCCCTGAGGTCCTTAACAGCTCCAGGGTGTCATAATTTTACCATCCAGAGAGCACGGAGAAAATCAAACAGACCAGGGGACAGAATGGACAGGTTAAATGTGTCTCGTGAAAGCTTCTGGGAAGGGAGAGGGATGAAAAAAGCAGGAGCAAGAAAGAGGGCTCCTTAGCAAGGGGCCGCCTGCCCGTGCTCAGCATACCTCTGGGGCACAGTTTCCTCCATGGCTGCTTTAACTTAAGGCAGCCTAATGTCCACTAAGTTGAAAGAAAGAAGAGAAAGAAAAAGAGAGAGACAGTGCAAGAAAGAAAGTGAAAAAGCTGTGAAGCTAATGAAAACGAAAAGAGAAAAACCCTGCAGGGCTGGAAGGATCAATGTGAAGGCAGCGGTTCCCTCCCCGGAAAGGGAGAAGCCACAGTCCACTTACCGCGAGGTATTCCTGGGCTTCCAGAACAGGAATGCATTTGCTTTTCAGCTTCTCTGGATTTCCACACTCAAAATTACCTTAGAGAGAGGGAAAAAAAGGGACACATTCAAACATAGAGAAGAGGTGAAAAAAAAATTACTCTGAAATGGACTAAAAATGCAGCAAGAATCAAGCCATCAGCTCTAATCAGGAGCATGTGGCCTGGCAGCTCTGGCTTCCATGGGGCATCTTCACTCCGCAGCAAGATCAAAAGCCACTTAGCTTGGATCAATTCCAGATCATTAAAACCTGACCTGCAAAGCAGTGCGGAGATTTGCATTAAAAGACTAAAAAGCTGCCCAATACCAAGGTCTGTTTGCAATTGATCCCTAAAAGGATCAGACAGACAGCTCGGGAAGGTACCAGAATGACACTATAAATAAACACAGCCTGGGAAAAAAGAAAGGCTGTGGGCACCAGAGGGATTTTGATCATGACACGGGCTGGCATCCTGGAATGCCAAGCCCATTGTTTTGAAGGGCCATGGAGAGAGATGTCTAGAATGGCTCCAAGAAGGAAGAGAGTGTGTGTCTTGGGCAGTGGGGCCTCAGCTGACAGGCAAAGGGCAGCGACTCTGAGCACAGTGTGAGGCCAGTTCCCACTTAGCTTGGAACTGATAACTCCCCCTTAGTCCTGCCCAGGCTTCCCCGCCCAGCTCAAGAGTCATCTCCTGAGAAGCCTCAGCCCATGGGGCGAACTTGCTTTAGACTTGGTAGCCTGTTACAGCCCTTGGCTCTCCTTCACATGGCCGTGATTTACTTTACTGCTTCACACTATTTCATGTGGATCAATTACATTCCCTGAGAGCAGAGACAGCACAGGGTGAGGCAAACACAAGATCCTTGACACTCACTCATGGCCTGCCCTCCATGATTGCCCTCTCTACCTGACCTAGCCTAGGGAACTGGGGCTACTTAGTCTCCATGTGCATTTGCATGCTGGGGTGGTGGGGGAAGGAGCAGTTCTTCCTTGAGAATGAATTCAGTCTGTTCCTCACCCCCAACACAGTCAAATCCTCCCACTTCAAGGACGATCTGATGCTGCGTGTCCCCAACACCAGGATGGTACCTCCCATCCTCTTGCTCCCACCTGGGCTAGGCCTGCGCTGGCCAGGCCTGCTTGACCACCTTGCTAGCCTCTTGATTGGTTTCTTCTTGTCCCCTTTCCAATAAAATTTTAAAATGAGTCTGCTTAAATGATACTGTGCCACTCAAGCTGTTGGTGCATTTGCCTTCCTGGCACCTGGCTCTCAGCACATCACTTCCCTGGTCAAAACTGCCCTGGCCCTTCCTGCCTGCTGGATCAAGCTCCAGTGGACTGGCATCCATGGCTATCCACAGTGGGGCCCAACTGGCAGTTGCAAACTTCATTCCCTCTTTTTCTCTTTCCCTGTAAAGTCCATTTCCCTGTCTCTGCCCTCTCTGGTACTTTCTTGCCTCTTAGGCCTGTCCCCTGCCCCTACCCCACATAACCAGTCCTACCTGGCTGGCACAGAGTCTCCCTTCCCTGTGACACTTTCCTGACTGCTCCAACTAAAAGGCTTGTGCCTCTTGAAATGAGTAGCTGTTTGTTTCTCAGCTAATCCAATCTTATATCACCTGGCTAGGACAGTAAGTGGTCTTTCTCTTCATAGGCAGAACCCTGAGTGAACCACGTCATATCCTACAAGGGCTAGCACAGTGCCCAGGCCACAGCTGATCCCCAACAGTAGGAGGGGGAAGGGTCAGGGCCCACACTCCCCCTTAGCCTGTCTCAGTGACACCTATGCTCTCCTACTGCCCCCGCCTTGAGTGCAACAGGTGCCAGGGCCCTCAAAGGCACAGGCCAGGACCAAAATGGTGGGTGGGATGGAGGAGAAACAGCCACTAGGACCCTGTGTTGGGAGTTTCTCCACTTCAGGATGCACATAGACTTCCTGTGGATCTTAAACAGTAGAAGACCTTGCGAGATGGCTTCCAGAGAGCACTTTGGGGTGCTGGGAGCCCTCCCCTAGAGCATAGCATGTGACTCTCATCTTGTAGGAGACAGATGGAGATCACTTGGTCAGACAGGAAGACAGAGGCCCTGAGAAGATCAGGGATTGTTCAAGTCCCAGCAGCCAGAGGGCACAATCAGGACCAGGTGTAACACCAGGGCCTACCACACAGACCACATGCTACCTGCACAGGTAAGAGAACTTTTCCCTTGGTCTGGTTAACCATCTGGTTCAGGGAGGTCCCCAGGGTGGAGGACAAAGGCTCTGAGAAGACCCAGGGCCCAGTCCCTCCAACCAATATAAAACAGCAGGCTTCCCAGAGAAGGGGAAACATCTGCTGAAAGGCCTGTGCACCTGCAGGACCATGGGGTTCTTTAAAGAGAAGCAATAGCCAAACATGTACTGCCCCCAGTGTAACGCTCAAAAAAGATGTGTCCGTGGGAAAGTCAGAAGATGAGACTTGGCTTCTGAATACATCTTTTGGGGACGGCACGGGATGTCACTACCTGACTAATCAGGGCCATCGGGGCTTGGTGGCTACTCACCGGCTTGGATGGCCAGGTAATTGTATAGTTCATGCAGCAGCTCCAGCAAGGCTGCCTTCTGCTTGGCCTGGCAGAACTGAAAGGCCAAGGAAAAGTGGTCAGCACACATCTGCCTGACAGTTTCTACCTCTCCAGCCCCACTGCCAGTACATTCGGATGCAAGGAACATCTCCTAATTTTAAAAGATAAAAACAAATTCCGCAGAGTGAGGGCCCAGGGAGAGAGGTGATAAATATCAGGTCACGAGACTGAAGGACACTGTAAAAGTGGAGGCAGAAGCATGAGCAGACACATGAAAGGATGGACATCACACCCTGGAGGCTCCAGGCCTCTTCCCTGAAGTGCAGCCAGTAAGAGCGGCTGGTGAACACAGTAGCTCAGCATCCTTGGAGGAAGAAGCAATGACTGCTGGAGCTTGCACAGCTCGGAGGGGACAGGACAGAATATCGGTGACTGTGGGCTTGTCTCCCTGTCAGGTCACTCTCATCTGTTTATGTGGAACCTGGGGAGGGGGATCCCATCTGAGGAAGGACTGTTGTGAGGACTTGGTGTGAGCTCACATACAACCACTTGGCAAGGGCTGACACCACCTAAAGGAACGGGACAGAAGGCACCAGACGATGAAATGGCCTGATTAAGACAACACACCCACTCCCAGTCTGTCTCCACATTCTACACAGCACAAAGACAAAGAAAAACACAGTGTCCAAGTCCTCAGCCACCAGAAGGGGAAAGAACACTTATCTGATACTCAAATGTCTGTCTGGGTTCTAGGTGAGCTGGGATACTCCCACAGAAGGAAACTTTCAGCAAGACCTTCACCATGCCCAAGAAAAATGTTGCCACCCACCTGCTCACCCTCCATAAAGGTCAAGGGCACCCCATGAAGTCAGCCCGACAAACCTGTGTGGATAGGGCCTAGACCCAGCTGTTCCATGCTGAGGCAGATTGGTTACAAATGTGAAATATCTGGAGTTTGAAGCCCTGCCTGGCAGGAGCTAGAAGCCATCCGCTCACTAAGTACGTCTGGCAGGGACCTGGAGGGTACCTGTCTAGGCTCACATGCCCAGCTCAGAGAAGGGCCAGGGGGCACTTAAGAGTCTGATACATTTAGAAATGTGGAAGAACAACAAATAGAAACCAGGGAACCCTTTTCTAATTCAAGGGCAAACAAAACTACCATCACCAGAGGAGTCATACAGGTTATTTTTTCCTGGTTTTGTTTTGTCTTTAAAACTCTAGCTTTCCCTTTGGCCACCTGTTTCTGGGCCGGTTCCTCTAATCATCAACTGCAGCTTTTATGATGGAAGGCAGATTAAATTTATGAATCTGTTTTTGCAAAAACAATTGGGAAGCAAGGATCTTTGGTGAATGAGTGCAATAAATGAATGTTATAAAACACCCCCAAATATGACGCATCAGAAGCCAAGGACAAATAAAACCAGTTATCTGCCGCAGGGTGGCCTTCATTAACATGGGCTAGAGTCAACGCAGGGGCGTCTGTCCCAATGACCATGCATCATTTCTTTCCCAGCCCCCGGGCTGTGGAGGCCTGGCACTGCACACTTAATAATTAGACTACTAAGTCATGCCCTCTGGCAGCACACAACTCCTCCTGGTAGGATTTATGACCTGAAAATTTACTGCTTCCTATCTTCCCTAGACTATCACCAGAACCAGAAGCCCGGCTGCTTGCTAATGTTGCTTACATGATTCATAAATGGATGGGGTCACTCACCCTCCCCAAATATTATTTGTAGGGAACATTAGGGCTTCATAAAACAAATCTAAACATAGACTAAGAGGGCTAATTCCACTCGCTACGTGTTTCAAACCAACCCCTGAAGGTGTCAAGTCAGAAGCGCATTTTCAGAGCCACAGACATCCATCTACCAGAGAACCAGCCTCCTGAGGCTTTGAAACTGCCTGCCCTTCTTCCTGATGCCAGGGAGCTCGACAGGTCCTCCAACAACCCACTGCATCTCCCTGGACCGACTTAGGCAGAAGATCAAAGTCCCCGAAGCTACAACTGATGGGAGAGATTTGGTAACAAGCCCTGGATTGGATCTCTACATTTCATGTATTGCTTCACTGCCACAATTGAGTCTGACACAAACATCACAAAACATGATGTGATTCTGGTACATGATGGTAAGCACTCCCTGAAAATGACCCTGTTATGATTCTTTTCTGGGGGAGTTTACCTCCTGATGGAGGTTAGCATCCTCAGGAGAATAGTAAAAACAAGAAACTCAAACTCACCTCGTCTGTTTTTCTCTCACAGTCCACTGGCAGTAATTTCACTGAGGCCAAGAAAAGAAACAGAGGAGATTAAAAGTGTGGGGTGAGGAAAACAAAAAGAAGCCTCTCTCAAAATCCAGGGGGAGTAAAACATTACTGACACAAGGGTGGGGAATGGAAAGGTGTCATCTACATGTGGCACTTTAAAGTACAGAAAGAATAAAGGGTTTCCCAATCCTGGACTAGGAATTTGGATAGCTGGGTCCTCATCCCAGCTGAAAATGAATAGTCATACGTTTCTGGGCAATTCAACCACTCAGAACCTGTTTCCCCATCTGTAAAATGAGATCAAATGAGACCTTGCTTAATTCAGAGTTAAGCAACAATATACAGGACAGTTTTATGAACTATAAACAATGATATGTTAAGCAGGAATTAGTACCATTATGGGAGGAAACCTCCTGGTAAATCCCAGTATGCATTCCCAAGGCTGTTTTAAAGCATCTCAGTAGTGAGTACCAATATGGCACCATGTGACATCACCAGCGTGGTTATAGTACCATGACACTGGGGTCTGGTTAATTTCTCCAACACATCCATAAACTATTCACAGAGTTATAAACTGCTCTTGCAGTGCAAAAATCATTTGGGTGTCTGCCTAAGTCTGTGATCCTAGGCCCACAGACTTGTACACACCCAAACATCTGCTTGTCACAATAATTAAGACATAACTCAGCTTTTCCCTGTATTTCAGCTGTTCCTGCTGGGCATGGAAAGATGTGGCCTTGATTGGAGGCTGGGAAGAGTTTTAATCACATTCAAACTTTGCAAAGAATATTAAAAGTTGGTGAACTGAGTTGTCATTTTATAGCTAAATTTATAATAGAATGATCTCTATGTTGCTTCCTGTTGTGTCTAGTAGTGTAACTAAGTGTAGAGAGAAGGCAGCTATGAGTGTCCTAAATCACATACCCTCTCCTAACAGAGTCCACCAGAGTGCTGAAAGGATAACCGCCCCCGCTGGTATCAGTTTAAGCTTTTCAAAAGGTTCTCCCACACCTGTTCCACAGGCAGGGCTAGAATTCTTTTGAGAATGAGGACCCAACGGTCTGTAGAAGTGGAATGAGGGGAACCATCCCCAACCAGATACTACGTGCGGAATCTGGGGAGCCTTCAAATGGGCACTAGTGTGTGAGTGTGCAGGAGATCAAAAGGGAAGAACAGAACCAAAACGGGAAGGGATGGGCCTCTCTTTAGAGCGGTGTGGCTTTCTCTCCAGAGGGAAAACCAGAGATTGGGGTGGCACTCATCGGGCACGTGGCTGAGAGAGAGGCATAAGGGAGGGCGAGGGCAGAAAAGAACAGGGGAGAGCGAAGGCAGAGATTACTGCAGATGCTGGGCAGAGGGGAAGCGCGGGCTGGAGGTGAGACAGTCCGGAGGCCGCTGACAGGGTGTGAGCCCGGGCTGGGGGCCGCCCACGCCCCCCGGCCCTCCCCTGCGCCGGCCCGGGACGTACTGTTGTCCTCCGCCTCCTGCGGCGCCGAGGGCTTGCCCATCTTCACCCAGAGGATGCCCAGGAAGACGAGTAGCAGCCCCAGGCTGGCACAGAGCAGAAGCCGGGACAGGCAGCGCTCCAGCCGCCGCCCCGCCTCGGGCCGGGCCCGCGCCGCGCCCGCAGAGCCCGCTCGCGTGGCCCGCAGGCCGGGGCGCGGGTCAGGGCTGAGGAGGGCGGAGGGCGGCCGCGCCGAGGCCGGGGACGCGGCCCACCAGCGGCGGGCCGGGCCCAGTGCGGCCCTGTCGGGCGTCCGGGCGTCCTCGTCCTCCTCGGAGCTGCCCCTGACCGAGGCGCGGCGCCGGAGCGGCGCAGGGCGGGCGGGATAGGCAAGGCCGCGATTCCCAGCCCAGGAAGCGGCGGAGGCCCCGAAGTCGCCATAGGCCCCTGAGGTCCTGTAGGCCGGGCCCGAGGCCGGCGGGGAGAGCCAGGGTTCCGCCCGCACAGAGGCCGCGGCGGGCCGGGCGCGCAGCGGCGCCTCCTCGCGTAGCCGGGCCTCCTCCCGCAGAGGCTCCTGACCCCGCGGCCGAGCCTCCTCCCGCAGCCGCTCCTCGTCGCGCAGCCGGGCCTCGCCACGCAGGCGGCGCAGCTTATTGCGGTAGACGTCCCGAGTGGTGTCGGTGATGGGTCCTGGCTGGAAGCCCAGGGCCTGCAGCTCCCGCCGCAACTCCAGGTCCGACAGGCCGGCCATGGCCAGGACGCCGCCCCCCGCCCGCCCCTGGCGCGCACCGCACCCGGAACTGCTACCGCCGGCAGCGGCGGCGGAGCGGGCGGGGCCGCGCGCCATGATGGGAAGGTCGGCTCCGGACGCCATGTTGGGAAGGTCGGCTCCTGGCCGATGTGTCCGCCATAATAAGGAGGTCTGATTTGGCACTAGAGCCGCCATGTTAGGGAGGTCAGACTGGATTTTTTTTTTTTTCTTTTTCTTTTTTTCTTTTCAACTCTTGCTCTACCCTCTCTTTCCCTTGTCAGCTAGATCTAGCTGTGTTTATCACAGATCCGCCACCCCTAATGCTGTCACTGTCACGTGGTAGACATTCAATAAAGTGTTGATTTAATGGATGAATTACTTAATGGTTAAAGACAAGCCACTGCCAAGAGTCAGCAGATGAGATCATTTGCCAATCTCTGTGCTTGGGGACAGATAGGAAATTGGGTTTTATTTGGGTAGAGTAGGCCCCAGTATGCTCCTAGACCCTGTCCTGACTTCAGAATGCTGCGGATGGTCCTCAGACATGCACTCGGTGACAGCTGAGCACCAAGTGTATGCAGCCCTGCCATAGGACAGGCTCTGCCCCTCACTATGCTCAAGCCTCCACCTGGAGGCAGAAAAGTCCTGGTCATTGGTGAGCAGGTGAGGCTATTCAGAGGAAGCCATGGGGCTGGTGACACGAATTTCATAAGGAGAGATGGGTAGGGGGAGACCCCGAGGCCCAGTCTTGTTGCCTCGGTGGTTTGGGATGTGGGCTCCGGAGCCAGAGAGTTTGATTTCCATTCCCAATTCCACAACTATTAGATGTGTGATCACATCCAATTAACATTCCTAGCCTGTTTGCCAGAAACTCTCATTGGGCTGCTGTGAGGATTAGAAACGGTAATTTGTGTAGGGTGTTTAGAACCGTGCCTGGCACATGCTCATCCTTGTTTATACTTAACCCAAATCTTTGCAGCCAGTGCTGTGCAGAGCCTCCCACAGGGCAGGTGGTTTGGTTACATGAAGGCTCTTAGCAGGAACCCCTAAGGAAAGGAAGGGTAGTGGTGGCAAATGGAAATAGAGCTGCAGTTCATTGCCTTACTCCACCCCCTCCCTCTTCCTATTCCTTCCACATCCTTCATCAACTCCCTTTCCCAAACATTTATTGTTTCTCTCCCTCCCCATCCTCCTCCTCCCTGGGATCTCCCTATAGCTTTATCCAACAGTCCTATAGTTGCCCCCCCATGTCTGTCCCTCCCCTCCCTGGGCCCCTGGGCCATGCTCCTCTGTCAGGGTTTTGCATTCCTGCCACTTGCTCCACGTGGGGGTATTCAACGCTGGTCACATCGCTGGGAAAATTACAGCCTCCACTAGGTCAGGCTTCTGTTGTTAGCCTCCCTTTCTCCCCAACTTAGCTGCTCCCATGTGGTGAGATTTCTTTTACCAAGTGTTGTTTTCCTTTTCTCTGCCTGTGTTTGCACGGAATGCCATGGATTTGATATAGTGATTGCCTAACACATATACCACATAATAGTATTTTATTTCTTTCTGAAGCACTGTTTGCATGACAAATGAGTTGGTAACATTTGTGCAACTCATTGCAGCTGTGCAGTTCAATATATAAAGAATGAGCCTTTCGGCATCAATACTGGCCCTGTGTATTCTAACAGGGCTTGAAACTGATGCTTAAACAAAGTGAACGTTGCAGCATTTCAGACTGATGGTCTATTTCATTACAATGGATCTCAAGGCGCTTAAAAAATATGGACGAACTGGAGCCATCTGCAGAGGTACGAAGTGGGGACTTTGTTGTCAATTCTTGTGTCAGAGCCCCTGCTGCTGCTACATACACCTAGGGCCAAACAACCCACAGCCCTTCCCTGGAACCCTGCTGGTTTCTTCTAGCCTAAAGCCCATTGTGTTGGCAGCAGTGGCCTTTTGCCACTGGGTCCACCCTTTCACCTCTGCAGTGCCTTTGGACAGCCAACGGTCTTGTCTTTTGGGTCTAATAGGCCTGGTGTGGTGCAATCAAACAGGTATCCAGATCTTAGTCACTCACAGTGGGTCTACTGATCAGCTCCTCCCCAACCCTCACAGGTCAACCCATGATCTCTCACAGGTGTCTGCCTTCCCATTTTCCTCCTGAACTTCCAGCTCCGGTCTTACCCCTTCTCTGGGGTCCTGGGTCCTCCAGAATACTCTTTGCCCCCAAGACCCTTTAACCCTGGTTCAGTGGATCTGTGGCAGCCACACACGTCCGCTCCCCTCAGAAGGACTGGGCCTCAATGCTTAGCTGCCACTGCCCTTTGTCATGTAGGGAGCTGTCCCCCAGGCCCTCTAGCCTCAGAGTCTGTCTTTCTGTGTCTTCTTCATGGATGTCCTGTAGGTCTGTTTGGAATGGAAGGCATATTTTAAAGAACAGGAAAATATTGCAAAGCTGCTGGCTGTGCTGCATGGCCTCCTTTCTCATCACTTTGTGTGGGTTTTTAAGGGCTCAGGCTGTGGTCAGTCTTCTGGATTTATTAAAGACGAAGAGGAAAGACAAGCTGTGGCTTCTACATCTACTTACTAACCACATCCACACAGCTAGCGGAGGCCAGGGGCTGTACAGAGTACCCTCTGGATTCCTGGAGGGCCACCACACTGCCTTCCCTCCGGCTGACCTCTCCCTGTCCCAGCAGAGCTCCACAATAATAACGGTCATAAATCTTTTAGTGGGTTTCATTCTCCTTCTCTTCCTGAAGAAAGCCCTGCATACATTTATCAGGTCCTCCAAGATGCTTGGTAACTATGGACTTGTCCTCGATCTTAGCTATTCTGGATTTACTTCCAGTAACATTGAGGTGGCAACTCACTGGGGGCAGGTGGGAGCCACTAGGAGACAGGTTGAGAAGTGAATGCTACTTGGGGCCTCAGGTTTTGGCTGAAATGATCTCAGGAGCACCCAACTTCTTGTTGCCTCATTTTGTCTCTCACCAGGTCTAGGGGTGGTCAATGAAGGAGGTAAATCAAGTCCCAGGGAAGTGCTAGATTGGGTTTGATGGCAGTTTTGCCTCTTGCTTTTTATAATCTGTTCAAAATTTTTTAAAGGAAATGCTCATTCTTTTGGCCACTGTCACGCTTTGCCATCTGTGGGTAAGAGTTCTCCTGGAGGCATAGAATCCATTCCCCAATGTCAATAACAAATTGTGTATGAAGAAAAATGCAATGCTTTCTGAACATTTTCTTTTGGGCTTTGTCCATGATTTGATTATACTAAATTACAGAGTACAGATATCAGGCAATTACTCTTTGCTTTTAACTATTCAATTGCATGGCAAATCCACGTAGCTCAATAATTACAAAATCACACCGATGTGGTTACTGAGAAAATACTTCATCATCTCCATCTTGTGAAGTTAGGTTCAGGGTGCCCTGTAATTACCTGTGGTCTTGTTAAGAGTAAAATACATTCTAGACCAACAGGGGCCAATCTGTACTTCTCTGTTAATCACAGAGATTTTTGCACATTGTGTGGGATAAACCTCCACTAGATGGATGGAGAACCTGCAGGAGGGACAGTGCCCTGGCTTCCTGGTTGCCCTGACCATTCTCCTATCTCTGACCTTGGCCGGTTTCTGCTTCAGTCCTTCTAGAATTTTAACCAGGATGGTCTCTTTTCTTGTGGTGTGAACACATGGACACTTTCTCTTGGCTCAGCTCACAGAATCCTCTCTCTCCCCCATTTTAATTTCTTCTAGGGCTGTGCATGTCCTGTAAGAAAGAAGTCTACTGTTCTGGAAACTGGAGGCACTCCTTAGCAAAACAGAATTATTTGAGCTGTGAGCAATTCAACAGTGGCAGGAGGAGAAAAAGGAGGAAGAAAGGAGCTGACACTTCTAACTGCGTGGTTGGGGTGCTGTGCATACAGATGCAGGTGGTAGTTGAGTCCCTGTTGCGGCTTATTATCAAGAAGGCCCATCAGAGGCCACAGGGCAAGCACTGGGACGCTGGGCTGCAGCGCTGAGCCCGGAACAGGTCTCTTCTGCAGAAAACACAGCACTGCATCCTTCCCAAGGGGTCAGTTAAAAAATGCAGACTGCCTGGGGTGAAATGGCCCAGGGATTCCCATTCCACTCCCTGGCACCTGTTCCAACAGCTGTTCTCCAACCCCCAATTCTGTAGAAGGTATCAGTCTTTCTACCCCAGAAATAGGCACCCCCTTCTGGTGATGGGGGAAGATGTCTCACCAGTGGGCAGAGGGTGAGGGGAGTACAGAAATTGTTTCCCTCTTGTTTTTCTGCTCCTTGGAGTGTGTGACAGAACTTGATTCTGGGAGCTGGGAAGGGGAGGGAGAGTCTAGGTGTAGCTTCTTCCATGCCTGTTGTGTAACCTAAGGGCTTCCTCCTTTCCCCTTCACCTGCTTTGCTGCATCTCTATCTAGTGCCCAGGTCTTGGCAGTGGTTCTCAAAAACTTGCTGCCATTCTGGGGTTGGTCAGTATGTGCGTTGGAAAGGTGTGGAGACATGCAGTGGGATAGGGACTGGTCCCATGGAAGGTTGGGGGGTACCCAGGAGAATTCCAAGCACCCCAAACAAAGTGCCCTTTGATGGTTAGGGTCTTGTGCTGGTACTCTCTGTGGCTAAGCCATTGATACCAACTCAAGTGGGCAGGTGGCAATACCGAGCGGACATGGTGTCTAGTTGCCTGTAACCTATGGATGGAGGAGCTTTGATTCCTATATGGCCCCAGTTTATAAATAAATGAACCTTCATTAATGTAAAATTAAGTTAGAGTGAAACTTCCCAAACCGTTTTGTTCAGAAGGCAGAAAGAAGTGGGTTGGCTGTGCAATTTTACTGGGGAAGCTGGAGCCTGTAGTCACAAGGTGATAATACTGATAGTCATTTGTTAAAGGGCTGGGTGGAAGTTACCCAGCAAGGCGTGATGTGCAGAGGCCTTAAAATCCTCTGTTCCATTAGACCTTGAGCTCATCAGTAAACAGAAAATGGACCAGGATTCAGGAGACCTAGATTTTGGTCCCTGCTTTTCCAAACATGCCACCTCTCTGGGTGTCACTGAAATGGTAAGATGCTGGGTGCATCTTCGCATTCCCTGGATCTGTGTTGATATTTGAACTTGGCACTTACCAAAGGCATACATTTTGCTAATGCATGCAGCATTGCGGCCACTTGCCTCGAAGCTTTATGCGCCCCACCCCCCATGACCTGAGTTTACCCTTTGAAAATTAGAACATTAAATAAAAGAGGCGTTTCTGTGTATTCTATGGTTTATTTTCAGGAGAGATGTGCTCTGTAGAGGGACTGTCTTCCCCAGGCCAGCGGGTGGTCCGGCAGTTTTGCAAGACCTTGCTCAGGTGGGCGGGGCGCCCAGGTGGGTCCACCTTCTTTCTGGAGCCCTCACTTGGCTGCTGGGGAAAAGCACAGTTTGCAGCTCAATGGTGTGGGCAGGTCTGCTAAGTAACCCGCCTTCTAAACTTGCCTGGGGTGCCAAGGAGGAGGGCGCGGGGGCAGGCTGGGGGCAGGGAGCTGGAGGCTTCCCAGAGGCCTGGAAGCTCTCTGTAGCCTGGGGCAAGTCATTTAACCTCCCTGTTTCTCCATCTCTAACACCACCTCCTCCATTTCTCTCTTCTCCTCTGGGGGACAGGGAGAAGTAATTAGCGGCTGTTTGTCAGACAAGATCTAGCTTTGCACAAGTAACTAGAGCAGACCTTGAACTGGGCAAGGCCAAATGGGGCGCAGGACTTGGATTTGAAAAATGGATGAGAAGAAAAAAAATTAAATAAATAAACTGAAACAGGGCTTTCTTCACCATGGTATCTGGGAGGGAGTGAAAATATCCGCTGCAGGGTGGGCGGATCTGGGGGTTGGTTGACTTGTGGCCTCTGCCAAGAAGGGTGTCTGGAAAGGGCCTGAGCCATCAAGCCAGGTTTGAGACGTAGATGGAGGAGGGGGCTCCGTCCCCTCCCTGTCCCCACATCTTAGCTGGCCCCTCCCCTCTGTGCTCGCCTCGGGTGGCAGCCAGGAGCCAGGGGAGGAGGAGATGGACGGTTCTCAAATGCAAAGTGGAAAAACAAATCGCTGTCCTCAAACCCTGCTCCGATGCCTCCTAGAATACTAACACCCGGGGTGTTTGCAGCCGGCCCTGCCCGAGCTGCAAAGAAGCGCAGTAGCGGTCCCCCTGCCTACCGTGCGGAGTGGGCGGCTGCGCCTCCCTCAGCAGCTCTTCCAGGGCGGCCCGGTACTTTTCCAGCTGCCTGGAGTTCATCCTCGTTCCAATTCCACAGGAGCAGTCAGCTGTGAAATAAGGCAGAGTTAACCGAAGGGAGAGGCAGGCGCGGAGGAGGGCGTTAACACCTGGGTGCCCTCCAGGTGGAGGTGGTAGCTGCGCGTCCTGCCCTCTAGCTCAGCTCCTCTGGAGCTTTGGGGCCACTTGGGAGTTCTGGCAACCTCTTGCGTTCTAGTAGGGCCGGGTCCTGATAGGGAAGCTGGGACAGAAGGGTGCAGTCGGCACCCTTCCTCCATGTAATAGCTAACACTGTGGAACCACCAGTTGCTTTATCTATATTAAGCCTCTCAGTGACCCTGTGAGGCAGGGATCTAGTGTTCCCATTTTGCAGATGAGGAAACTGAGGACAAAGAGGTTGAGTAACTTGCTCAAGGCCACACTGTAGAAAGAGGTTAGGCACAAGGGGGCCTTCCCCCAGGGTCTGTGACCAAGACCCTCAGGCTACCCTTTCTTTCACATGTGGGGACACGTGGGACCTACAGGAGCTGTTTGACAGCTGTCCACCTAGAGGGATATTTGTGGCCTTGAGACAGAGTGAAGGGTGCTGACTGATCTCCCTTTTGCCCCAGTGCCTCCTGGTTCAAAGTTCTTGCTACCAAACTGTCCTGGTAGATAAGGAGATTCCCTGCCTCTCCTGACAGCTACCCTGGAGGCTCCTGTCCCCCACCTCCCATCTGCTGCCTGGATGTGGGAAGTGGGTGGGGACTGCCATCTAGCCCCTCAGGCCAGGGTTGTCTGAAAGGTGTCTCTGTGGGACTCATCTAAGACCTGTACCCCTTCCCATTCTGAAACGAGGAGGCTGACTGTCAGTCCAGGGAGTACCTCGCAGCCACCCGGCTTCATGCTTGGGAGACGCAAAGGGTTAAGTGGCCCCTCACCCCTGGCCTCCCCAGGAAGGTTCCCGTGGGAACCTTGGCCACCAGCCCTGCAGATTCACTCCAGCTCCCTCATGGGAAAGGCGGGGTGGGGGAAGGAAGGAGCCCCCATCTCGATGGGTGTAGGGACAATTTGGAGGTCACTCTTGGGGCCACACACCCAGCAGAACTGGAAAGATCATGGGCCTGAGAGTTCAGTAGGAGGCCTGAGGGGAGGAGTCAGGTCAGTTTCTGCCCTGACCTCCGTGTGACCTTTCTCTCCCTGGATGTCACTTGCCAGACTCCTTAACATGGAAGTGTCCCCTCAGGCCATGGCCTCTCCTCAACTCTGTCCACACGTGCCCCTCAGGGAGCTCATTTAGTCTTGGTGACGCCCACTTTTGTGTCTCCAGCCCCAAGCTCTCTGCTGACCTCTTGACTTGTATTTCCATCTGTCTGTGCGCGCGGTTCTACCTGGATCCAACAGCTTCACATGGTCCACGGCCAGCGTGACCTCCTGATCTTCCTCTGACCCACGTGCAGCCCACACAGGCTTCACTGTCTCAGTGGCAAATTGGTTCTGCCAGCTGCTCTAGTCACAAACCTTGTTTCTTCACATCCTGTGTCCATCCTTCTAGAAAATGCTGGGGCATCTACCTCCAAAATATTTCCAAAATCCAACCACTTTGCGCCCCTCTCTCTCTGTCCCCTCTTTCTCTCCTCTCGGTTCCCTCTCTCCTCTCTCTTCTCTTTTCTCCCTCTCTCTTCTCTCTGTTTCTCCCCCTCCCCAGTAGTCTCTCTGATCCTGCCTTTACCCCTTCAGTCTGTTCTTGACCCAGCCAAACCCACTTAAAATGTAAATTAGATCATGTCCCCACTCTGCTCAAAAGCCGCCCAAAGCCCCCACCTCACAGTGAACTCAAAATCCAAACAATTCCCTGTGCAGCCCACATTCTGGCCTCACCCTCGCTCTCTCCCCAGGATCTCTCCGCCCTGGCCCCTTCTCATTATCCCAGAATGCACCAGGCCCTCTCCTGCCTCAGAGCCTTTGCACTGGCTGTTCCTGCGCCTGGAGTACCTCATCCCCAGACCTCCCTGTGGTTCACGCCCTCCCTCTCTTCAGGTTTTGCACTTAATACTATCTGTGAATGAGGCTGCTCTGCTTCTATTTAAAATCAAACCTTGCTGGTCTCTTTGCCTGTTTAATTTTCTTCCATGGTGCCTATCACCACCTGCCGCACTATAGAATCTGATGTTCACCTGTTTGTGGTCTGGCCCATGTCTTCTTTCTGCTTCTCCCCAAAGGTGGAGGATTTTGTTTGTTTTGTTCGCTACTCTACCCCCAGTGCTATTCTGAACAGGGGGATCAGGAGGCTAAGGAGCTGCCCGCATAGGCTCCAGGCTCTCCACGCATCCTGACTCAGTGAGGCCGAGCCCAGACCTTGGTCTGGAGGCCATAGCGCTCTGGGTTCCCGCCCAGGAGGGGAGGGAGGGACTAGCCCTCCCCACCTCTCTCCTGAGGCCAGAGCAGCCTCCTGTCTCCACTTGTGCTGCCCCAGATTTTTCTAAGTCACATCAGGTGACCTCCGGCTTTGAAGACTTCGTGTCTTCCTGACATCAGGGCTGGCATGCCAGGCCCTGGCCACCTCTGTCCTCTCAGCAGCCCCTCAGTAGTCCTAGGCACAGCTTTGCAATTGCTGCTCCTCTGGGTTGCTGCAGCTCTGTCTGATAGCCACTGCCATTCAGATCCAATCTTCATTCTTGTTGCCTCCTCCAAGAAGCCTTCCCTCATCTCCCCTGGACAAGCAGTGCCCAGACCACCCAGTCACTCTCTACTCTACTTGCTTCTTTGCTGCCTAAAATGATGGGCTTGTCTCATTTCTGGTGCCCAGCTCTCTCTCCCAGGGTGGAACTCTTGCTTGCATGGTTTACTGCTATGTTCTAGAACATTCCACCTCCTTGCAGGGTCAGGGAACCACACCCCAAACTGTTTCTCTCCACCATCCCCATGGTTTGCTCACCTTGATCTTTATGTTTTCATCTTCCTCGCCAGTCTCCTCAGGGTCAAGAGGACCCGTCTCCTCAGACCTCTGCCAGAGGCGCAGGGATTTTTTTTGTCCTTTGCTCCATTCCCTTTCCTAGGGGCAGAGCACTGCATTGCACAAAACTGCCTTCTTCAACCCTCCCATGTCCAGCTTCCCAGGACCAAGAGACCCCTTTGTCCTGAGGTACTACCCACATGAAGCGTCTCAGATGTCCAGTGGCTTGAGGATGGCCTTGGAGTTGCCCTCCAACAGGCCATCTTGAAGAGCTCATTCCTTTGTGCTTAAAAAATTGCTCCCAGATTGTTACTGTTAATTAAGTTAAAACGCTGAGAATAACGGCCGCCCTTCATGCATATTAAGTGTGAAAATGTGTCTCTCTTAGCAGAGAGCCTATAAAAAAGGTAGCAAGACAGCCCAACCCGAGAGGGCGCCATGGGGTGGCCTGGAACTCAGAGTCCCTGGGAAGTGATTTATAAGAGGCGAGACAGGGAAATGAATTATGGAGGAAGGAGTTTGCAGCTTCTTCATAAAAATCTCGGTGCCTGGCAATTATGAGGAGGAAAACCACGGTGCAGATTCATGCAACGTGTCTTTGGGTTGCATTTTGATGGCTCGTGCGCTACTGAGTTTGACTATTTCTGTCCAGCCCCAAATCTCACCCGGCATGCTGCATGCCAGCTCCTGGACCCTGAGTTCAGACACACCCTGTTCCTTTGGTGTCTCTAATGACTCTCCTGGGATTCTGCTGTGTGTGGGCCTGCCCTGAGATGTGATGACTCTTGGTGGGAGGAAGCTGTGTGGAGAGGCCTGCCCTGGAGGGCCAACTGCATTCAGCCTGGGAATGTAGAGGCCTAGCACATGCAGTGTGCAGACAGGGACAGGTTGGGCCACAGAGACACAAGATAACTCATGCACCTGTTCCCACTGGCGCCTCAGTCGCAGACTGGGTAGGACATGAAAGTTTCATTTCTTCCTGTCTTTGGTCAAAGGGACCCAAATGTCTGCACAGCCACCAGAATCTCCTGAAGTCCAAAGTAAAAGGTACCAGGAGGTAGAGGCAGTGGTCCAATTTCCTTCGTCCCTGCTGCCTGAGTTCCATTGGGGCTGCCTTGTTTCTTTCCGGGGTCCACAGGGAAGAGGCTGTGGTACTGCCACATGGACTGCACCTTTTGCCCCCAACTCTGGGTGGTGGCTCACAACCACCCTTCATTCTTTATCTCTCAAAGTCCTGCTCTGGACTCATTTTCCAGCAGCCATGGGGATTTCTCTCTCCTCTGAACACCAGCATTTAGCACAAGCATCACTTATGGGACAATTAATCACGGCCTGCCTGGTGACATCTCTGTTTTGTTTTAGATTGTTAGTTAATTTTTCATAGTTTGTGTCGGGGCTCCCAGTCTGCTCCTTGAAGACAGGGGAGGGGCTCAGATGTCCTGTATGTTCAGGTTCCTCACCAGGGGACTCCTGGCACCACAGAGAAGCCCAGTAAGTATTTATTGGCTTATTGATTGAAAGCTTCCTCTGAAGGATGAGTGGGGGTTGGAAAACATGTCACTACTTCAAGCAGCTGACATCCCTGGGATGGCTGGTGTTTGGGTTGTCTTGGTCCTGGTTCTGTAGGCTCTCTTTGGTGTCCCTGGCATGGGTCATTGAACATGGGTTTACCAAAGGAATGCTTGTGCTTCAGAAAGATCAGCCCTCTCCAGGCTGTGCAGGGCAGGAACTCCCTCAGCCACATTGCCAGCTGAGCAGCAGGGTTTCTTACCTGCATCTTCTGGAGTTCGCTGTAGGTAAAGATGGGAACAAAGGCTTCAGTCTGGGAGGCCAGCATGGTTGCCATGTGCACCACCAGCAGGATGGCCATGGCCTTGCGGGACACCATCCTGGATCTGGACAAGGACAAGGGGCTCCTGTCACCAGGCTCAGGGCACAGTGATGGACTACTGCATGGAAAGCGGGTGCCTCTGATCTAGTCCATGTCCCATCTGTAGTTGTGTGATCCCAAGCAAGGGCTTGGCCTCTCTGAACTGGGGCCTGGTATCATGGTCTGCTAATGAGCTCTGAGTACCCTGACTTCCCCAGAACTGTGGCAGGTGACCAGCTCCCGGAAAAGGCTGCCCCTGCCCCACTCCAAGGAAGTCATTCTGTTTGGTGGCCCTCCTCTTTGTTAGGTGAGGTCTTCTGGAGTCAGCAAGTTCCCTCATGAGGCAGAAAGGATCTCATTGTGCAGAGACAGAACACTTAGTTTATCAACAGAACCTAGGGAGCCCTCTACCTTCTTCATGTGCTGATTTGGTTGATGAATCCAGGACCCTCTGCCCAGCTCTACCTGGGATCCAAAGTCCCAGGTCTAAAGAGGAAAAGGCTGACTGCCCACCGGGAGGAAGAGTCAGATAGAAAAATTCAGCTGAGATCGGGGCCCCCCCACACTACTGAGTGAGAATAGGCTCTCAGCAAGACCCTTCCCAGCTCCTGTGTGTCTGGCTGCCTGTTAGCCACCAACCAGATTGTAACAGGGTGGGGGCTTCCTCCCTGCAGGCTGTGGACACCCCAGGACACCATGAGGGCTGGTGGGTGCCTCTTGCATCCTGGGAAGTGGGTATATCTGGAATGGTCACCGGGAAGGCAGGCCAGGGGCTGCAGGGGGCTGGGGGGCTTTCAGGGATTGGGTCCTGCCAGGGAGCAGGTGGGCGTGGTGACTACATGGGTACAAAGACTCAAGGAAGACATTAGGATGGTCCCAGGGCTGGGGTAGAATGGTCTGGCTGGTTGCTACCCCCCAGTGACTCATTCAAAGGTAGTACCAGGAACCTTGGCCTTCCGAAGCCTGGTGTTTTCCCCATACCCAGTTCATGTTGCCTCTACCCATAAAAGGAGGGAGGATAGGACTGTTGAATGAAGGCTGGGTACATGGTTCCTATGCTGGGTGAACTGCTGAATGCAGGGGTGAGGCCTCTAGAGCAGGGAGGGGAGTCCAGGGCAGCTTGGGGGGTGGTGAGTGAGGGCTGATCTCAAGATTTCAGATAAAGCACTGCCCAGGGCTCAGGCAGCCCAGATTCTGGATTCTGTGGGTAGGGGAGAGCCTGCTCTGGGCCAGCTTCAAAGCTTCTCTGAGTCCTGAGTCCAACTCAGACTCTGCCTTTGGAGAGAAACTGTCTTGCATCCCACCTCTCCACTAGGGCCGGTCTCTGTCATCGCAAGCTCCACTACCAGTCAGGACTCCCTCCTCCTTCCCACTCTGCTGTTCTGTCCCTCACCCATTCTACATCCTCCCCTCCCTATGTTCTCCTCCATTTTGTTCAAACCCTGTGAGCCAGGATGGCCAGAGTCTTCATTCCACCTGCGCACAATGCCCAGGAGGCTGGAAGGGCCACCAGCCAATGAAAGCCCTGGAGGTGTGAGGGGCTCAGAGGATGAGGTGGCAGAGCCCAGATCCTGTTTCTCCCCCATTCCTATCACCTCCTTGCAGAGTCCGTGTCCCCACTCCCTTCTAGCGGAGACGATGTGTCACATTTATGGCACCCCATTTCCTTCGCAGAGACGCTTAGATCCCTTTCCATTCTGGTGTTTGCATTTAATTCACTCCATAAGAATCAATAAAAACTTTAAATAAAAAAGGCAAAATCCAATTGCTGCTCATTTTCTTGATCCAACTGGCAGTCAGCATGTCACCTACATTTGCTCATGTTCTGACGAGCTGGGAGAGGGAGCTTGTCACTGCATAATGAGGTGCTGACCGCCCTCTTTCACCACCAGGGACTCAGGTGCTCAGCTCTGAGTGTGGGGGCCTGTCTCCTCCCCTCTGGCCGTGGTGCCAGGCCAGTGGTTTTGCCTAGCTGTGGGGTCACCTTGGGACCAGCTTCTGCTTAACTCCAGAGCCAAGTGGAGCTCTGCCTTGGGTTCCTGGTCTGTGTGGATGTGCCAACCACCATCAAACAGCTTCTGCTGTTTGATGGCACCCACCTGCTTCTCTCCTCCTCCACACTTCAGCCGGCTCCTGTTCACACACAACATGCAGCTCCAACCCATCTCCTTGGGAATGAGTTCAGGACTCCTGGTCTAAGGCCCAGCTGGGCGTGTAGATGTGGCAAGGGACAGGAGTGGTTGGCTCAGCCAGAGAGCTCTGGGCAGGGCTGGTTCTAGCTGGAATCCTGTGCTACCATAGGGTGCACACTGAAGCCATGTCACCTACCTTTTGTGACTACTTACTGTGTGAGCAGGGCTGAGCGGGCCTGGAGAATGCTCTCTGATTGTCCTCTGGTGTTCTGCTGGTCTGACTGGCCCTTATATGTCTCCCTTCCTCTCTTTGGGGCCCATTAACCTTTGGTCACACTGTTGGGGGCTCTGTGTGGGAAACCTGGATTCTTGAGGTGTGTGGAAACCATGGGTAGGGCCGCCAAGCTGTAGGTTTCTAGGACTGTCCTGGACAGCCTGTTCTGTGAGCAACAGTCAGGGTTCTGGGAAAGCCAGCCCCGCCCAGGTAGCACTCTCCTGTCCACTTAAAACTCAGTGCTGCTCAGAGAATGATTTTAATAACAGTCTTTTCTTTCCTAGTCCTTCAATATATGATGTTGCTGAGTGTCTCCAGGCCAGCTCTTCAGTGATGGCCTTCTCTTTTGATCTGTCAGAGCACTTTATCAGAAAGATAACTTCTCTTCAGTCTCCTGCTGAAGCCCCTAAGTAAAGAGAACATGCAGGGGGCTGGGCTTGGGGGTGTATGCCTGTAATTCCAGCTAGTTGGGAGGTGGGGGTAGGAAGATTGAGGTCTGAGGCTAGTCCCTGGCAAAAGTGTGAGACCTTATCTGAAAAATAAAAGCAAAAAGGGTTGGTGGAGTGGCTCAAATGGTAGAGCGTCTGCCTAGCAAGCATGAAGCCTAGAGTTCAACCCCAGAACAACCAAGAAAGGAAAAGTGTGTGTGGCAGTGTTTTAATCAATTAATGAAAGAAAATGATTGAAGACACAGGACTACACAGGGCCCAATGTGGCCAGGGAGGTGAGGCAATGCAGAAGAGGTGAGGGGCCACAGGGCTGGATGCTTGTGCCTAAATGGGATAGGTGACCCAACACCTATCTGGGAAATGTTTTGTGGCAATTGTGTAATTCACACAGTAGCTTTAGAGATGCAAAGAGGGCAGAGGTGGCTGTCATCGGGGTCACATCTGCCTGCTTCTGTTGCTGTTGGCCAGTGTCTCCAGAACCCAGAACTACTCAGAGAACCTTTCGTAGGCACTTTCTAATTAAATTCAGTCACCCTGTGAGGTTGGCTCTTATTCCAAAATCTACAGAGAAGGAAACTGAGACACAATTAAATAGCTCCTCTGGGACCCCACTGCAAGGTCTCATCATTCAAAGGTCAGGCTGGGCACGGCCAGGTGTGGGAGAGGGTGGGGTGAGGGCATCTTGGGATGCAGGGTACACACAGGCGCAGAGTCACGTGGAGGATGCCCACTCCCAGAGGTCCCTGTGCGGGCTGGGATGGCTCAACCAGGCTGGAGCATGGGGCCTTCAGAATCTGAGCAGAAGGATTTAGATTTGGTGGCAGGGATACTGGGGTCCCTCATGATGTCTTGAAGGTGGGTGACAAAAGTGTCATGCTGGAAGATGGCTCCATGCTGGGATAAGAGAGAAGCCGAGGTAGGAACGGTTGAGGAATGAGATCTGGAGGGTCTGCGTAGGCAGTGGCCATGTCCCCAAGGGAACCAGACTGGCCAGTAGCGCCTTCCAGAGAAGCTGCCCCAACCTCCAGGGGGATCTGCTTCTCGTCTAGCAACCTCTGTTCTGTCAGTCCTTCCATCTGCTCTGGCTTTTCTCCTCAAATGTGTGCAGTGCTTCAAACCCAACACAGACAACCTGTAAGTTCTCCGCTCAGTGACGGTAATGGAAACAGATGGTGCTGGGCAACCTCGCCTTTCCAGCAGGGTCTCTGTGCTGGCGTCCATTCTGCATGCTGGGTAGACCATTGCATAACTGGCAGCACATTGGGTCAGTGACATTGGTAGATGTGGTTGGACTTCCTTAGTCTTCCTGACTGGAGTCTGCTGCCCCAGTTTCAAGAGGGACTCTTAAGATAACGTCACCTACTTAGGCTGGGGGTGGGAGACTCTGGCAAGCTTTATCAGCACTGTGGCCTGCAACAGTGGATCACATTAACACCTACCCACATCTCCAACAACACCTAGACTGCTTTTTCTTTTTCTTTTTTTTTTTTTGGCATGTTAGGGATTGAACCCAAGGCTTCATGCATGCTAAGCAAGCTCTCTACCACTTGAGCCATGCCTTTAGTTTTTCTGAGATGGGGTCTTGCTAACTTTGCTTAGGCTTGCCTCAAGCTTGCAATTCTTCTGGTCATACCTTCTGACTGTCTGGATTTGTAAGCATGTACTACCATGCCTGGTTCTGCCACCTGCTTTATACAACCTGTTATCTGACAATAGTTTTTACACTTTTTAAATAATTTAAAAAATCAAAGTATTTAGTTATATGCAAATTTAGTTTCTGTGTCCACAAATAAAGTTTTATTGAAACAGAGCCACTCTTATTCACTATATCTGAGGCCACTTTGGGGCTACAACAACAGAGTTGGGTTGAGTGGCAGAGACCTCATGACCCACAAAGCTGAAAATGTTTAGTACTTGGGTCTTTGTGGAAAACATTTGCTGGTTACCAACCTCAACTACATCTGGGGGCATTAATAAATAATAGCTGGACATTATCCAGACTTAAATCTCATAGTGGCCTCATGGGGGTCCATATGGTTGTTATCCATTTTACATGTGGGGAAACAAGCAAGACAACCAAAGTCACCCAGCTGTGAAATTGGCAGGGCCCAGATTCAAATTCAGGGCATCTGGCTTTAGAACCCATGGCTTAGCCACTTCCTT